CCAGAAAAAATCATGAGTTTTCCTTTTCTAGACTAGTTTATTGAACTACTTTAGGTTATTATTGGATGGGGTTTTGTGGTTATATTGCTTAAGTATTTCTTTTTAGTTCACAGAAGAAAATAAGGGAAAGGAAAGAAGTAGGTTCATCTGTTGGGGGCTTCAGTTGATGGAATAAAGTTGTCACTGTTTTGTTGTTCTTTCTACTAATAAATCCTTGATTATATTCTGATCATTTTCAATGCGCTGAAAAAGTGGTTGATCGTTGGAGTTTAAAGGCACTCGTAATTTCAGAGGCAATAATTAGAACTTGTATATTAAACAGGGGCTTTGAAAAAGGTTCGGAAGCCAAAACCTTGGAAGCATCCTCAGCCATTAACAAAGTCTCAGCTCTTGCAGATGCGTGAAGAGTTTTGGGACACTGCTCCTCACTATGGAGGCAGGAAAGGTAATATTTCCTCTGAATGTATATATAATGACAATTAATAATTACAGAAAATCTTTGGGGTTCTTTTTGTTTTCTTTGGATTGAATTTTGGGGTCTACCTAAGGTTAAGCTTACCTGGTATGAAATTACTTAGTCATAGTGTTTTTTATTTTTACATTTTTTAAGTTCCTACTAAGATAATATTTTTCTATAACACAAACAGTTCTTTCACGTTTGTGAAAATCATAAGAAAACCAAGGGGTGGCAACTAAACAAAGGAACAACAGAATGTGTTCATATATGGAAAACCAGGGAAGATATCTGGAAATCTTTGCAATTTATAATTATATCTTTCATCATGATCCACCATATTTAATTAATCAGGACAGCCATTTTCTTAAACCTATCAGTAATGATTAGTGAGCTTGATTGTATACACACACAGTAAGAAGGGTAATAGAAGCTCTTATCATGCGAACATTGACTTGAGAAAACAGGACGAAAACTATACTTTATTGCTTTTGTAGTTACCTTTAGATATTCAACAATTGGTTTGAGACGGGTTTCCTTTCAGTTGTTTGAATTCAATCCACAAACTAAATTGTAGTACTCTTAGCTTTTATTCTAATTGTCTGTTGATGTATCAATTCTACCATTATATGCACTCATTTGAGATTGAATGACCATTAAGGTGCATAAATGTTCTAGAGAACTTGATTACAAGATTTTAAACGATAAATTTTTTGTAAGTTTATGATCATCCTGAATAATTCATGAGTTCTGTATAGAAATGAATAGTAAAGATACCCGAATCTTGGTATTGACCCTGAGCATTCTTAATAGTATAGGGGAATCTGATTTTCATGTACTGTTGTGTGCTCTGGAGCAGCGCTCCAAGCATGTTTGTATTATTATCTGTATAATTAAGCATGCTTTAGTCTTGTGCTGGCTGTGTTTCCCTTTTCAGTTTGAAAGAGGGGTGGGTGGAGTTTATCCCTTTAAAGTGTTGTTCCTATGACAGTTTGGAGTTTCTCTCACCATTCTAAAGATTAAACTTCTAGTTCAGTTTGGAGATCCTATGATGGCTCTATCTGTTTTATTCAGAACTAGTATTTGCCTAAGAAATGTCTTAATTGGATAGAAGGTGTTTGTTTTTGGGGGTAATTTTAGTGTAAGGTATACTGAGTAACCCAGGAACTTTTCTATAGAAGGTCTTGTAACTTAAATGATAGTTTGTTAGTGGATAAGGTCAAGACGAGTGAGGATAAATTGTTAAATGAATGCAAACCAGGGTAGGAATAAGGGAGAACCAAGATTGGAGATGATCACATCATGTGAATGCAATGGTAGCTAATGGCTGCATCAATATGGATTGTGAATTGGACAAACTACAACATCATAGGAAGGTTAAAAGAGTGTTGGTTGTCATGGGAAGGACATGATGGCTTATTATTAAATAAAATACAACCTATATGGGGTACTATGGTTGAAAAGGATTATGCTTCATCTTATCCAGATTTAAAAAAGATTAGCGTCTTGTCCAAATATCTAAGGGTGGGATTTGTATTTAGTTGAATAAGTTCTTCACTAGTGGGCACCTCTGACCTCAAATATCACCTTACCAATGTAATATCAGAATGTTGCAAATATTATCAATGATCACATGCCACCCAGCGATGGTTCACACAAGTCTTCTAAAAAAACAATTCCCTATATTTTGATGTGTTTGTTTTTGTAATAGGAAGTGGTGTTGTAGGCTCACGCTTCTGATAGAAAAATAAAGAAGGGTCTTTTCAAAAGAAAAGTGATTATTGTGATCAAGTTCTTATTTGACTTTGCATTGCTACAGTGGGTTTTTTTTTTTTTTCCTCCTCTTTTTGAAGTCTCATTCTTCACACATGTTATATCTGAACCATAAATTTCACTTATACTGGACTTTAGAGATTTGGGATGCACTTCGAGCTGCTGCTGAAGCAGATCTAAGCCTTGCACAAGCGATTGTGGACAGTGCTGGGGTCATTGTTCAAAGTGCTGATTTGACAATTTGCTATGATGAAAGAGGTACTTATCCAATTCGCATTTGTCTTCACAATTTTTTGCTGCCTCCAAAACACTCCTATCTATGCAGGTTTTATTTTTTATTTTTAAAAATTACCAAAACTGTATATTTTCAAGGTTGTTAGGATTCAGTGGTGCTGAAGGGCTAAAATTATCAGTACTTTGTGCTGTGTATGGGCGCGTATGCTTATGTCTCTGGGCGGGCGAGTGTGTGTGGGTATCTTATATTTTTCTACCTTATTGGTGTTTGACTTAGGGTACTTGAGCGGTAGACGTATCAGTATCCAGTATGAGTATGCCTTGTACTGCTTTATGTTGTGTGTGTAGGTGTTGGGGTGTGCGCTTGTGGATGAATTTTGGACAAACTTGTTACATCTTTATATAATGGCCAAATTTACCTTCACAAGTTCTCTTTATTTTCAAATCCTCTTGGCTTGCCCCCTTACATGACTTCTCGCAGGTGCAAAATATGAACTACCCAAGTATGTTTTGAGTGAGCCAACCAACTTGATTCGAGAGAGTTGACTGAAGGAGAAGATATGACAAACTTTGTTCACAAGATTGAATGTAAATCATGTATATTTTTCTCTCATTCTCTTCCATATCTTTAATAGAGTCGGTCACTTTTTATGCTTTTCCATTTGCATTCACTTGGATTCTTCCTAGTTTGCTGTAATCTTCAGTTGGACAGGAATGCTTGGACTTATTTTATCTCACTCTTTCCTTCTCCATCGCTCTCTCTCTCGCTCTCTCTCCCCCCCTCCCCCCGAAAGAAAACCCCTAGCTTGTACCAAATCTTTGGAGCCAACAAGATGCAGATAAACATATTTTGTGATATTCAAAATTTCATTTTCTATAAGTAGTTAAGACTCAATGGACTCTTGTTGGAGCTCTACGCTGTCATAAGCCAAAGGTTATTAGGCTTTAGCGCCATGCTTTGTATTTGAAATTTGCTTTCGTTTACTGCTTCAAATTGTGTCATTATGAGTTCCTTTTACATGAATTCAATTCAATGAATAGTGTGAGTGAACCCCATGAGGAGAGATCATTGCTGCTTTTATAAGTACCCAATAATGACCAAAATATAGTTAAGCCCAAAAAACAGATAATCATGATGTTACTTGAGTGCACCCTTCTATTTTCACTTCTGTAACTTTGTTGTTGATGCTTCATTATTTACTTTGCTCAAAATCTTTTTTTATTGTCACCGAAAAAAAAAATCTTTTTTTATTTTTTATTTTTAAAAAAAAGTTATAACAACATTGCCCAAATTGTTACAAATAACGAAGTCTGTAGACCAATGAACCTGCAAAATACTCAGCCATGTTCAGTCCAATTCTACATATTTGGCTAAGTCATCATTACTTTTATCCCCAAAACTAGCCGTTATTAGAGCTATTGGGACAAGAAAAGTATGCCCTTTGGCATCATGTAAAGAAATTTTGAAACCGAAAACATTGAAAAGCCAAAGCAAACTTAAAAAGGTGGCAAAAAATAAAAAACTTAAAAAGGTGGCACCCTAGTAAGCTGGGCGACACACCTTTCTAACTTCAAGATAAATTCTTGAATTAGAGGGGTGAAGCATATCACTCGTCGGTTCACACACTAAATAAGAGGGAGCACAATGGTCCCACTCAAGGCAAAGATCCCCCTTTTTGTGTGCGACCAGATGAGTGACGTGATTGTGTCAAAGAATCAATCTCTGCTTGTAGTTAAGGAAAGAATCTCTGCTTGTAGTAGTTAAGGTACATACATGAGTGACGTGATTGTGTCAAAGAATCTCTGCTTGTAGTTAAGGTACGCCGAAAATCCCAATTTTGGTTTTTGGTTATAAAGAAACAAGGCAAATACTATTTGTTCTAGCTTCTGTTGGGGTCTAGCTGCCCAAATAAAAAAACAACCTTCAGTTGGAGTCGAAACAGTTTATTCAATGTGATGAAGTTAAATGGTTCACTGCAACAAATCTTTCATATGGTGGTCATATTCTTAATAAATAAAATTTTCATTTATGTAGATGGTAAACTTGAATGGCCGGTCAACCACAACGTAGAATATGTCATCCCTACCTGCATTCAAGAATCTCTGCTTGTAGTTAAGGTACGCCGGAAATCCCAATTTTGGTTTTTGGTTATAAAGAAACAAGGCAAATACTATTTGTTCTAGCTTCTGTTGGGGTCTAGCTGCCCAAATAAAAAAAATACCTTCAGTTGGAGTCGAAACAGTTTATTCAATGTGATGAAGTTAAATGGTTCACTTCAACAAATCTTTCATATGGTGGTCATATTCTTAATAAATAAAATTTTCATTTATGTAGATGGTAAACTTGAATGGCCGGTCAACCACAACGTAGAATATGTCATCCCTACCTGCATTCATGATCCAAGGTAGAATATGAACACAGGCACATTTAAATTTGAAGTAATCAGACTATCCAAATGGCCCCATGTCTGCACTCTGCTAGTACAAAAATAAACCATGATGGTTTAATGCTGAAAATCAAGAGTATAAATCCGAAAGAAGAGAATATACACATTCGAGCCCTCGATTAGCAGCAGAGAAGAAAAGCAAACACTCTTCTCTCTGTCATCTTTGAAAATATAACAAGATGTAAGAACCATTATAATCAAACACTGCTGCAGGGATACTTGGGGTTTGAAAAAGGGCTTAGGCCTTCTTGAAGAATGAAAGAATATTGCCTTGCTTAGGGTCCTTGTTTCCACCCTTTTTGCTTCCTGCTTTGCCATTTGTTGGAGCAGTGTTTACCACTGACTTCTTAGCTGCAGGAGGCCTGGATTAACAAATCCAACATTAGAGTTCAGGCACCAGGCACAAGCTAAAACTTCAGCAAAAAAAAGTCAACGAAATGAAATGTTTTGGCACAAACGAAGTATAATCCAAGCTAGGAAGTAGAAGAAACCACATGAATGCCTCAATTACTAGTACAAGTATACAAGGCCAACTGTGATGATCAGAATTCAAAACAATTGAGATATACGGCATCGGATCTACATGTTTTTCTAACATCTCACTATTTGATGCAGTATCTCCAGAAAATGATTATTCAATATTCTAGCTGTTTAAGCCTGCACTACCTGGTTGCAACATCAGATGCAATTAACCGTCCCTAACACAAGCCAATGACATTTTCCACATTGTTTCAACCCACAAATTTACAGGGAGTTGGAATCGGCACAGTTGAATACGATGTGAACTTTTTTGGTATGTTTGTAATCCCACTGATCAAGAATTCACATGATGTGAAAAAGAATTGAGCTTGAAAACCAGAGAAGATGTTTTTTCTTTACAAGCATCCTAGACAAGTAACATGGATAAACTTGCAAGTTAAGCAGACTGGTCCTTATAAATAACACAAGTAACATGGATAAAACAGAAATAATAATACCAATAATAATAGTAATAATCGTAATAGTAATTATAACGAATTAAACTAACCTGTTGACAGCACTGGCAACTGTTTTATCAGCTTTCTTAGTTATACTAGTGTCGGCTTTCTTTGCTTCTGTCTCCTCACCCTCCCAGATTACCTCAGTCACTGTATAAATCAGATTAAAAGTAAATTAGTAATAGATAAAAATAGACATAAATGTCTTGTTCAAAGTGATACAGGAGAAGATTACCTCACACAGTGAGAAAATATTTAATTTTGATTGATTTCAACTATATATTAAACAGTTACCATAAGTTGCAAAAGAAAAACTTAATTACATAGGAAAATTACTTACAAACAGTTACTATGAAGTCCATCGTAATTTACTATATTTGGTTAAATAAGAGCAAAGGTTAAATTTTACAGCAGAAACAGCCATGCTAATTTGCCAAGTAACATACTGCAAATGGGACTCTTTGAAAACTGAGGCATCTAAACCACAGCGTACCTTCTCTTCCACGTTCATCAATCACTGTCTTCAAAACTTTTCTTCTTTTAGGTGAACTTGAAGCAGCGTTGTTCGGTTTATCCATTTTGTTAAGATCTTTTTCGGGAATACAGCTATGTGTCTTCTCTTTCAGGATAATCCCAGCATTTATCCCTTTGCTGATGCCTGAAACTGAAGAATCTTCTCGGAAAGATTGGTTAGATTTTCGATCAACTGAAACCTCTTCCTTAACCATGGGTTTATCTTCTACCTTGGGTTTATCTTCTACCTGCTCGTCAAAGTTCAAACTGGTTCCCTCTGGAACCAAAACTTTGCTACTTTCTTTCAGATCTTGGCATGATTGCGCTTTTGGATTATCTGGTGATGCTAAATTAACTGCATCTTCATCTTCATCATCATCTGAGAAATCAAAGACAACCCTCCTTTTCCTAGTGCCTTCCCCATTGGAAGCTCTCTTGAAATTGACTTCGTGACCATCATCGTCGCTGCTGACACTGGCTACTGCTTCTTGGGCACAAACTTGAGCGTCTGCACTAGCTCCTGACATGGGAGGAAGGACACAAAGATACATTTCAGCCAGCAATACATTTTTTTAGCAAAACAAACCACCCCTATTGCATCTAAAATGTTTCTCAGAGAATTTTAAATTCCCAACTTATCCATCATGGCAAGAGGTAAAAAGATAAAGCAAAATGAAACCAACCAGTATCATTAGGAATAGAATTATTATTTTCTGATAGAGTATTTGACTTTGGCTTGACAGATGCACGACCCCACAAATTTGCCAATGAACCTCCAGAAGCAGAAGAGCTTTTATCATTTTGGACTTTCTTTTTGTTAGCAGGCACAGGAGGAACTTTATCTTTGACTGCTGGTGGTTTGTTAGCCTGATCAAAAGCTCCCGTTCCATTGCTTTCACTTTTGACATCTTTTACCACATTGGGAGCCTGTAAACCAACTTTTGGGCTAGATTGTTGTCCTTTATTCTGGACATGTTTTGGAAATGCAATATTTTGATGAGCTAAACTGCTTTCAGATGGCCCTACGACTGCTTTGGTTTTAAGTTGTGGAGCTTCAATGCTCAATGGCGCTCCCTCCACATTACGCTTAACAAAGGAATTGGAAATCCCACAAAACCTGAAGAAGAGGAGCATCGAAAATCAAGGAAGCCAAATATCACATATATAGTTGTATAAATATGTCTTATATCTCTCAAATAGATTAAAGTCCTGTGAAAATAATACATTAAATTCTAGCAAAGAAAACAAAAATATGAACGGAACAGTTCCCTCTCAGCTGAGTACACTACCATGCATGAGTGCTGAAAACATAAACTCTAGTATTTTGCAAAGTATAAAAGCCAAATGTCCTCTCCTAGAATTTTCAGAATTTTAGGAACATCTGATGCAAAACAAAAAATGCAGTTTTGTAATTTCCCATCAGAGAGAAAAAGAACAAAATTTGATTAAGTTCTCTCTGTTACCTTGAGATGAACAATTTCATCTTTTAAAATCTAAGAGAATTTTTTTTTTTTGGTCTGAATCTAAGAGCATACAGTGATAGATCATTTTGAACTACTAATCTGAGCCTTTTCTATATGATAACTAAAATGCAATATTGTTAATAAGCAGAAAATCAGTCAAATAAATTAAAAACTCAGAGTGAGATCTTTTTCATTCACTTTTCTTCATCTTTCTGCACTTTCTAGAAAAGGTTCCAATGAATAAACGGTCAAACTATTAAGTAATCATTACTGAGCAGAAGAATTATAAAAAAAATCTGTTCAGATTCACCAGACTTGGTGCTTTACAGCACTGGAACTTCCTAAATTTTCAGAAAGAAAAAGCATACGTTTTATATACAGATGTACAATGAAAGGAAATATACCTGTTATCCCTCAAGCAATTTTCAACCGATGGAGCCTGCTTGAAGAGCTCCTCTGCTTGTACAAATTCAGCATTCCACAATGCAGCTGGATCCTTTGGGATGCAAGCTTGCACACTATAAACCTCAACTGAACAGTTGCCTTCAAATTCTTCTTTTGCTTCTGCATAAAAGCTGAGAGACATGAGTTCCATAATATTTCCACTTACCTGATGTTTAATAACAAGACAGACCAAGTCTTATTAAAAAGATGATGAGACACAGACGGAACAGTTATATTAGATTCAACAATTACAAATATTTTTTAAAAAGTGAAACCAATGTTGGTATATTGCTCATGAAAGAATGAATAAGTTCAAAAGATATAATAGCATCTATTCCAAACTGCGGAACCATAGCTCAAGTACATATGCTGCGTATATAATTCTAAGCGTGTACTAGTTATAAGGTTTGCGGAAAAAGTACAAAACATCCTATTGGAAATCTCTCTCTCTCTCTCTCTCTCTCTCCCATGTTGCATCGAATAAGACCAGGATGAACTCCAGTGATTTAAAAACATAATATTCTTTCTGCTCCTCTCTGACATAGAGTGAAAAAGATATCAGCATAAGTATATGTACACACTATTCTATAATTAAATGTTACCTGCAAGTTTAGGCCCAGAAACAAGCCTTATATGGTAGCTCAAAGGATTGCTCTTCAACCAGCCAGCCAAAACATACACCACTTCCAACCCATTTCCATGTTTTTCAACAAACTCATGGAGTAACCTATATACACAAACTGTCAATCACATGTAAACCTATAAAAAAAAAAAGCAACCCAGAAGCTGTTAAGACAGTTCCTACCTCTTCGCAGCATTGGAAGACACCAAGTAATTCCGACTCAGCCATTTGTAGGAAACCTACCCATCAGCATTGAAAGTAGATTTCTTTAGACAATATTATGAATTCCTATGAGGTTCCACAAATCTCAACTCAAGTTCTAGTGAGAAATTTTCTTTGTTCATCTTTAACAAACTTCAGGATTATCTATTTTCAACTAAACATGCAAGTCACAGTTCAATCTCCAAATCAAAATGAGAGGGTTTCTAGCTTATTTCATTCTGCAACAACCCATTACCATATCCTTAAAAAAAATCTTAAAAAGTAAACTTTTTTCAGCTTGCTGAGGCAAGTACAAGATTCGTATAGCAGCAGACATCAATATAGGCACTTATAGCAAGATAACAGTAAACTAGTTGAAACAAAGAGAAATTCAGCAAAACCCTTGTCAGAGCTCCATAATAACAGAGTAATTCAGCAGCAAAAAATACTAAATCAAAGAAACTCGAAGTGAAATTCATATTGCAAAAATGATGGGCTGTATCAATATCACAGTGAATTAAGATAATAGTTACAAAATTGTGAAAAACAAGAAGAAAAACGAGAGGTTGAGAAAGGATGGATTGTTACCACTTGAAGTTGATCGGAGACGAGGGTTTCGATGTCTTGGATGATTCCTAGGGTTTCGATTTGGGTCATTTTTTTAAAAAAGGAAAAACTTGGGTCGTTAATTTTCTCTACGAATAACAATAAGAGCCCGTGAAAAATAGATCTTCAATGGCTTTCCCTCCCAAAGCTCACCTCTTTTCCCGCCATTCTCTGAGTGGTTACACTTACAACTTACAAGCTATAACTTATGTTATGTAGGTCACATAGGCACGTGCTTATTTGGGAAGCCATAATCAGGGTTTGCTCTCCTTTTTTTTCTTTTTTTTTTTCTTCTTCCTTCCCTACTCTGCTTCGATTGATGCAATCATGCAAAGTTCCTTTTTTTTTTCCTCTTCATTTTTAGGTCATGAAAATTCCAATTTACTTATACTTTAAAAAAAAAAAAAATGATCGATGGTGTTTGTCAAGAAATATCCCATGTTATTTTACCATTTTTGTTAAGCCAGAACTTGTAAGCTTCAAAGGTAAAACATTTACCTTCACATTTATGGGCAAGAATTTAGCTCTTGCCTCATCTCCATTGAATAGAATAAAAATGAACAGGTCTTCCAATAATATGACGCTAAACAGATGCTTATTTTCTTCATTCCAAGTATTATATGTTTACAAAGCTGAAATAGAATGGGGAAGATAGCACAAGAAAAGGTGCCAATTCTAAATGAAAGCTGTGCAAGAGCCTTGCAGACAACGCCGGACAAAAGCACAGACAGATTTAGACTCATGAGAGCGCCACTGTCTTATAAATACAATATGTTTACATTTCAAACATTCTTTACCCAATCTCCATAAACAATCTTCCATGTACATGTTTGATTTACAGATGAGCGAGTGACGGTTGAGTAAAGATGTAAACTTCATCGAATCCCGTCCTACAGTAAGAAAGCATGTCACAATTAAGCTAATAAGTTCATGCACAAATCCAAAATAATAATGTAGTCTCAAAGGCACTTCAGGCTTACCCAGCCTTCCCACAGAAAGTTGGACTGTAATTGTAGATGAGATTGTCAAGGACTTTACGAACAGGTGGCCTGTTTAATGACTTCCTTGCCTCACTGCACCACAAATTCAATTTGGAGTAAGTTTAGGCTTCGCTATCATTCTTGTTGAATAAACTTTGTGGGGTAAGTTTTAGAGGTATATTCTAAAAGGGAGCTGATTTTCCCACTCCTCTTTTGTCCACTTACACTCCCTTTGTTAAAAATTGTGTGTTCCCACTCCTTTTTTGTCCACGTACACTCACCTTTTTGTTATAGTAAAAACTATTAATATAAAAAAAGGGAGTGTAAGTGGACAAAAGGGGAGTGGGAAAATCATCACCCTATTCTAAAATATGACACCTTTGAAAGTTGTTAGACATAATACCAAAATGTTGAATAAAGGAATAATGCGATTCTCTGAGCCTAACTTTGCAATATCTTCGCCCTCCCAAAGAGTTTTTTTTTAGTGCTCCTCAACATTTCAGCCAAAGTTCAATTCAAAAACCATAGTGGTTCACTTGGAGCTAAAAGAAACAGATACAGAAGGGTAAAGCATCAGCGCAAACCTGACCAAAAAGTTTGCGATGTGCTGGGTTACTTGAATGGCATCTTCTGAGTGCGGAATCATTGGTGAGCCCCATTCAAAAACATTTTTCTGCATCGCATTTGGTTAGTCTTCCCAATTAGAAACAGATCCATTGAAATTGGCAAAAGGCACAATACACCCAGTCCTAGATGACTTTTTTTCTATGCAAACTCTAGTCTTTTTGCTTTTCAATTTTTCTTAATTTACCATTCTTCACTTAATCTGTAGAATGTGGCTAAATATTTCTGTGCAATACAACTTCTTTTACAAGTTTATGGAAATAATTATCAAAAAAATTTCTTAGACCACAAATATATTAACATTACAAATGTCTTAAGTGGAAATAGTTATTGTGGTCTTTGTCTTAAATCTTTCATATAAAGATGGATAATAAAGCAAAACCATTTGTTCATGATTCCACAATAACAGCTTATCCTTCACAAGGTTGTGAGTTATACAGTTATACTCTTATAGCAGAGATCCTTGATGACACCTATTCACATAAGAGCCTCAAGATGTTTCCATTTTCAAGCATTGTTTTACTGTGCTGTTTGCTTGTATTGCTAAATTTGAAATTAATAGTAACATTTTTAGACAAGACTGAACAATATTACAGTAATACCTCGGGATGCCATTGAAAGGCAGTCACAGGATAGCTGTATGCATGCACTGTGGAGACATAGACCTGGTATTATTGTTACTGCCACAATTAGAATCTTCAGGGGAAGAAAATAGAGATTGAAACTTGATACGAGAGAACTGTGTCATGAATTGATGAAAAACATAATGAAGTGAGATAGTTACATTCAGTACCTTATTATCTTTATCAGTACTAGTCGTCAAGATCTTAAAGAAGCTTGACAGATTGGGATTCTCCTGCAGCCTCTCTGGTGAGATACCATACTGTTGCATTGGATCGTAAAAAAAAACTCAGGTTCAATTAGAAAACCTATTCTTCTCTTTGTACGCAAAGGATTATAACCACATAAATTAAAGCATAACTGACTTAACCCAAAATTTCTTAGTTTAAGAAGCATAATATTAGACATTCTCAAAATGGAGCCTTTTGTCTCATCAATTTTGTCAGATGATTGGCCAAACCTCAGAATCACAATGAAACAATCTAGACTTTCTCAAACGAAGCTAATGATGTATGTTTTGAAGTGGTTTGCCTTTGGAAAAAGAAATGAACAATGGTAAGATTTAACCAAATAATTTTTTTTGAATTGATTGTTCAGGATCAGGCCATGCCTGATTACAATTTACAAGCATGAAGGATAAATTTGATAACTATGTTTAATACTTGAATAAAAGAGCCTTTAGATTAGAACTTACATGATGGTTTTGCATTACAATACAATCTGTACTCAACTTTTTAAGCAAGTCTGGAGGAAATCTGCAAAAGAATGTGCTTACGTTAGTGGCTGCAGAATTAAATCACCCTTTGATAAGCAGTAACATGACATGACACAAACTTCCCTACCAAAATAAATCTTATAAGTAACAACTATAGATACAGAAGGCAAACTTATACAACTCAGAGAATATCAACCATCCACCCCTTTAGTACAGATGTCCAAAATATCAAACAGTGATGATAAATATAAATACATTTCTATCATATTTATTAAATTTCATAAATGTGCCATTTCAGTGAACAATTTTCTTAAAAAAAATATTACATACATCTCTGGCAATAAAACAGAAATGTAGGACTCTCTTCAAAAGAAATTTTTTTTACACAAGATAACTAAAGTCCTCATCAATTACATACAAATTGAATTGGAAAACCATATTACATGTTACATATACCTTTGAAACACAGTTCCTTCAATAATCGTGTTCTCAGTAAACTGTAAAGTTGACGCCATATTTTCTGCACTGAAAGACTCAAGAATTTCCTTGTTCTAGAAGAAAGAAAGAAAGTTGCGTCAATCATAAAATCGAGACAACTATATTAGCAGGAATTGTTGAAACATCTATAAGGATAAGAGACTGAAGAGTTAAAAAAAAAATACTACCTCTAACTGACAGGAAAGGTGATTCAAATTGAAAGGGCGACTATGACAAGTAATCAACTAAGAAAAGAGAATGAATTATCATTCCATAATTCAATGTTCAAGGCAAAGTTGTAAATTCATCTCCAGTGCTAATTAACAGAGTGTTTATATAATAGTCTCAAGTTGTATGCCAACCTAAAAAACCAAGAAAGGCCATTAAAAAAAGCAGGAATAGCATACATGCAATACAATAGTTAGAATATCTGATTGGGCATGTGCCCAAATAACATGGCATCTCAGTTTACTTCCTTTAAAAATTGAATCATTTAAACCACCTTTGGGAAGAACAAAATTGACTATATTGATTGTTGAAAGTGGCTACTTAGGCATTCAAGTATTGAAAAAGGGAGAAAAAATATGCACTTTGAATGACAAGGGACTGAATGCTGTTGGAAAAGCAGTGAATTAAGGGAGGGGTAAGTTTACCTTGCTGATGATCATTGTTAGAAGTTCAAAACCTAAGCAGGTGGCATATAAAGGAAAATGGTCCCCTGCATCATTCTTCTCTATAATTTTCTGCACAAAAGCGGGAACAGAATAGCTCATAAACATGGAAGTATTCTTCAGAAAGCAATGAAACTATCCTGAGGAAAAGTCAATTTACTGGATATCTCTATGATGCAAAACAGCCTTGAAACCTTTGATGTTAGCCAACAATGACAACTTATGCCATGGTTGCAATACACAGTCCTGGACTTTGACCTCTAAAATCCCATTTAACTTTTAGGGTTACCACTCTCTCTAACCTGTACCTCTCAAATTTCTTTTGTCCAGTGTTGGCTAGAGTACATGGAGAATGATACTTGATGCTGATGATCTTGGACAGTTACACGATACTAAGCTCAGTATCATGTCAATGCCTTATAAGCATCATGACACTTATCCCTATAACAATCTAGATCAATCCATTTAGCGAATGGTATCTTAACCATTCACCCCATGATATTGCATGAAAGGGTAGCAAAGTAGTATTGCATAATGCTGCGCCCAGATGAGCAACTACGAGCGCATCAAGGAGTACAGTCTTCTGTTTGTTGAACAGAACACTAGAGCCAGAAAATATAAAAGTTGGACTTAATTGGACTTAATTGGGCCGCCTGGAAAGCCAGGACTATATGCGCATGAAAACTTACTTAGCAAAAGTCACCATGTATATCATGGACTAAAATGATTATATTGCAAAGATTGTATCAATACCTGAAATATTCTCTCCACAATGTCATAGTACAAACCACTTTTAGCCCAGCCTCCAGTGAAAAGCACGCCATTGACCAGATTGAGCTTCTGCAATGCAGCTGTATATAGTAAGCAACATAACAAAATCACTGGGAGAGGGCAGATTGCCTTAGTGATGAAATAAGAAACTCAGCCTCACATTACTAAAGCAAATGATAGCTAGTAATACATCTCTATTTATTGAAAGTCAAAACAAAGCGTATATAAAATATTCACAGCCTTTGGGAAAAAGAAAAAAAAACCCAATATCACAAAGACCATCTTTAACTTTTGATGACAATGCCAACATAAAAGCACAGCCTTTACTTTGTATTTTTTTCTCCAGCTTATGAAGAAAAAAAGCCAATTTTAGCACTTGCTTTGGCTTTTGAAAAGTTATGATCTTTTGCAAGATAAGAGTAAAATTAACTCAACACATAACGTAACGTACATCTCTTGTTCCGTTCATTCTCACAAATTCTAACGTAAAGAACACAGAAGCAACTTCTCCAAACAGCTCAAATTCTTGTCAAGAAAAAATAAAATAAAGTTTCCAAATTTAAAATTTTGGGTGATCACCTGGAACAGAACATCAGGAGGCTCGTTGTAGATGAGAGGAATAACACGAGCCCCAGCAGATTCAACAAACTTGACATAGGAAGCAGCGATATACGACGCCGTCGAGGCGTTGCTGAGCCGACCAGAGGCGCCGTCGCCGGGATGACTGAGGATGCCGATCACCGGCCGGTAATTGAGCTTGGGGTCTAGAGCCGTACACCTGGTGGAGGACGAGTCGGAGGGGCCGACTCCGAGTTGACTCGGCAAGAGAATCGGGGACTGGGCCTTGGCCAAGCTGAGCTCCTTGGACAAGGAAATCAGGAAAGGAATCCAGAGGTAGTTCCACATCTCTGACGGTGTCGTTTTGGGTGATCGGGTGGCGTTCAGGTTGTCGGAGGAGGAGGTTGGGTGGTCGGAGTTGGGTGTTGGGGTAGAAGTGGGATTAGTTGGGAAATGAGAGGGCATATTGGGAAAGAGGAAATGGGGAGGTTGGGGTTGACATGGAGGAGGAGGAGGAGGGGGAAGTTAAGTTGAAGAAGTGTTTGTTGAATTGAAACGTGCAGGAGGAGCATCGAGGGAGCTCAGCTCAGTGCTTTATAGTACGGCAATTTGGAAAAGACAGAAGAGGAGGAAGAAAGAGGGGTGGATTGTGAAGTTACGTGAAAAGGAACCCAACAGAAAAATGCGGAGGCAAATGGTCAGTGGTCACATTATGAATTGTGTTTCACAGGGGGGGAATTATTTCTGACCGCACGATCACGATAAGAACTTTCCATCGAACGAGAGATATAAATAAGTCTCTCTCCGTAATCCCATGTATATATACATTAGATTATGCTTTTTTGAAGATCTTCCATATTGATAAATAAAATAGTTGACAAAATTGACGTGAGATTCATCTATAAAAGTGGTTGTCGTCTTGAAATTTGATTAACATTAATAAGTTTTATCTACTCATTGTGCTTTTACGAAGTTCCGAGTAAGGGGCTTCTGGAGGGGGTTCAATCCATTAGTCCGATAAAAACTTTGTACTTGATCGAATGACTACTAACGACCCCCTCAATACAACCCCTCGCTAATATAACCCCTCATTGTAGCGTCCATGATGCCAAACTCGAACAAATTAGATGGGCCAAAGTCGCGAAAAGAAATAGTGAAAACACAATGCTATATGCCCAAAGATTATTTATCACCTTAGCCCATGAGCCCAAAGAGACACCAACGTGCCCATTTGCTTCTTCAAGGCTTGTTTGATGCTGGAGAGACAGAGAAATGGGACAAATCCGACCTGGAGGTGGTATGTGCACGACTAAAGGCTTCTGATCTTCGACCGAAAAAAAGAGAGGCTTCTGATCATTAAAAAGAGAAGAAAAATACTTCTTCTAAAGTTTGAAAGAATGTTACGATCGGTCGGACCCAAAAAAAAGAATGTTACGATGGGACTCCCATACCGCACACAAGGGAGCAACTTACCTTAGCACTGCTCATTAGGACATGGATGGACCTCAACAAATTATGTCATAGGCCCGGTTTATCCACTCCAACCTGGCCCTTTTTGGGTAGATGGGATGACATGGATTTGAAGAAAAGGATCGGACCCATACCTTTTTTTAATCTATGTGTTTTGCTCGAATTTTTAATTTGGTCTATGTATTTTAATTTAATAACCATATTCGTCATTTTACTCTAATTTTATTGTAATTAATGAGATTTTAACTCGTAACACCGTGTCAGTATGTCATGTAGTGTTATTTTCGCTCATAATTTTTTTTTTTTTCAGTACAAGAGATAGTTTAAATTAGAAGGGAGTGAGATTTATCACACACAAATGATGCCATAGAAGTTTAAATCTAAGATCTATTATCTGTAAGTTAAGGCCCTGACGTGTTGTATCAGAGTCAAAGTTTGCAATGCACTTTAAAGTGAGTAAGTCTTACATCTACGGCTCATCCTCAACTATAAAATAGAAACCATGTGAACAGCAACTCCATTAGTTCCCCAAGTCCCAAGGTTCAAACCCAAAGTCCATGGAAAAGCCAGAAAGGAATATATACCAACTTTTAATCGACCACAAATGTCCACAACACTATGATACTCGTTTCAGCATTAAAATTACCAAAAAGGAAGAAGTCATATTTTTTAAGATTTTCCGGGGTGTTGGTTTCCTAGCTGTCTAAGTTTGACCAGCTCGAAGAAAGAGTCACCCGCCACACGTATGCACACTGC